GGCCCTGCACCTGTGCGAGACGGGAACGGCTCTATGCGCCGCTATTTGACATGTGGCCCACTTGCCCCACTTGCCCCACTTGCTCCACTTGCCCCTCCCGCCTGCGCAGGCTCGAAGGTAAACGTTCTGGAATTGATGTCCAATATGTATGCATTCATACATTGTTTGACCTCCCTTGCCTTCAGTTGGCCGCGTGGCCGTCAAGCCAACACTCAAGATAAAAAAGCTGGTCCCTAGGACGGGGTCCAGACCTCTGGGAGTCCACATCATGATCACAATCGCGACGTCGGGGGTTTGGGGAGAAGCCCTTCGTAAGAGTGGGCCTTCGCCAGGGTATGGGGCCGCCGCGGGGCGGGGGCGTACCTGGCCCTCGGGACGGCCTGCCGGGGGGGGGGGCCCAGGCCTCCCAGGGCGGCCTCAGTAATTATGGCCTCCAGGGCACTCCCATCGAGGCCCAGAGGCTCTCCCCGGAGCTGCAAAACGGAGCGAAGAGCTGGGGGCACATGGGGCCAGTACCACCTCCCCTGAGACCCGACGGCGCACACAAATCGCATCGTGGATGATACAGTCTGGGGCCCAAAAGGCCCCAACTTACTGTACCATTTCCCCAACTGGATCGGCCCGTGAGACGGGCCCGGTGGTGCCCCGAACCTGGGTGGACACGCCCGGTGCCATGGAGCCAACAGCTGTTGGTACCTTTGCGTGAAGTGGATCCTCCCGCGTCCAGGCGTTGGCGAGCGTCTTGGGGTTGTACCAATACCTGCTATGCGGTTGCCCCGCCTCCTCCACGTCCAAGTCCGCCCTCAGGCCTTGTTCCTGCGGCTCTGCCGGCCGGTCCCCCTCGCCCGTGCCCGAGATGCTGGGCTGCACCTTCTTCCAGAGCGCCTCCATGGTCCTGGGAGAGGACAAGGCTGCATAAATTTGAAGCGCGGGTTCCTGGGATCGGCGCTGGACCCTCTCCCCCCTGGCGCACGGAGCGCGCCAGGGGCGGCGCCAGAGGCGCCGCCAAAGGGGATCCAGCGCAGATCCAAGGAACCCGCGAGGGCTTCCGATTTGTTCATGCGAATTTTTCTTCTTCTTCTTTCTTCCTCCTCTTTTTCTGCTTCTTCTTCTTCTTCCTCTTGTTATTATTCATATTATGCTTATTCTTATCATTGCTGTTCTTATTTTTATTGTGATTATTCCTCCTCTTCTTCTTCTTCTTCTCCGAGGTCCATCCCATGTGCTGCCCGGCGTCGGCGCCCTGCCACACCCACCAGCCGAGCTCTCCCTTGGGCCCGTGCTGCTGCCCCGGGCCCGCCGGGACGTAGCTCAGGCCAGCGTAGAATTGCTGGTTCATCCGGATGAGCTGTTGGGAACTCCTGGGGGGCAACGTTGAGGGGGGACTGTCTCAGGGGGAAAACATTGACCTGGGATGTGCGATACATCGCCTCTCTCTCTCTCTCTCTCTCTCTCGCTATATATATATATATATATATATATATATATATATTCTCCTCTTCCTATATTTTTATAAGCCCGGGCGGGGGGAAAACCCGTCCCCCCCCCAAAACCGGACTCCTGCGATCTGGGGCTTTGGGACCCTCCAGACAGGCCTCGAAGCGGCCACCGGGCCTCGCAGGGCGTTTTGCCAAGCCTTCCCAGCTCACCTAGGGCGATCAGGGGGGTCATCGGAGACGTCCCAGAGACCTCCAAGACAGCACAAGAGCGCTCCGAGAGTGACCGACGTGACCTCAAGATGGCCCAAGAGGCCTCCAGGACGGCCCCAAAGAGGCCTCCAAGAGCACTCCCAAGAAGGCCCCCCGAGGCAAGAATCATTGATTTTCTTTAGGTTTTGGTGAATTTTCGGGTTCTCCTTTTTTCGGCTTCCCGACGCTCCAAGACGGCGGTCTTCTGGGCGTCCCAAGCCGCCTGGGAGGCTCCCAAATCGCCCCACAACCATCCAAAAGGGCTTCCAGGCAGTCCAAGAGAGCCCCAAAACGGCACAACACGGGTCCAAGATGGCCCTCAGAGAGCCCCATGGCCGCCCAAGATGGCCCAAAGACACCCTCCGAAGAATTCCAAATCGTGATTCGGTCGTTCAGGGAGACCGCGGTTGGAGGCAGGGTGGCCCGAGGAAGCCCCCGGAGGCCCCCAGAATACGCCCAGGAGGCCTCTAGAAGGCCTTCAGAAAGCCTGAAACAACTTGTGTGAGGCCCCTAGAGGCTCTCCAAGGAGGAGTCTCCGCAAAAAAGAGCTGAGGAGGATGGGGAGAATGCGCAGGGTATGGCGAAAATAATGAAAACTAAGCATGGAGGAAGGAAAAGTAATGACATTATTATAGCGGCGTTCCTGGCAAAGGCAACCAGGAGCTATCGCTAAATTGTCGGCTTGACCTTCCTGCTATTCCGCCTGCGTGCCAAACTTCAAGGATCAAGGTGCATGGCGCGAAGCGCCACTGCAATCTTGTACATCTATGTATATCTATACATCTATCTCTATATATATATATATGTCTGCGATAGGCCTCCGACAGCGAATCCACAGGTTCCTGGGCGGGGGTGGGGATATCAGACCCCTGTCGACGATCAATGGGCGATTGGGGGTCGATGCGTACCCCCCTGAGCCATCCCCCCTCTCGTTGCCCTTGAGCTCCACGCGGACGCCTGCGTGTGCGGGTTGAACCAATACTTCTGCCCCATGATGTCCGTCTCCAGGCAGTCCCGGTAGGCGTCTGGCTGCAGGTGCGGGTGCCCAGTGGCCTGCGGCTGCACGTAGGCGTGACCCTAGACAGGAGTGACTTTGGGTGCGGGGCTTGAAGCGGGCCAGGGGAGGGCAGACCCGAGCGCGCAAGCCGCGGCTATCGCATCGCACTCGGCGATCAGGATAACCTAGTGGGCCCACACCAATGGTCACCCTGGCGAATAGGCACTCTTACGCGCAGCCGAGGCCTGGCCGCCAAGGTACGGGGCCGCCGCTGGGGTCAGGGCGTACTGGCCGCCAGGGTACGGGGCCGCCGCTGCGGCAGGGGCGTATCTGGCGCCCGGGATCTCCTGTCGGGGGTTACCAGAAGTGGCCCTGGCCCCAGGTGGCCCCAGGCTTTCCAGGCCTCGACGGGGCCTCCACAGCACCCCCATCGAGGCCGAGAAGGCCCCCCAGAGCTCCAAAACGGAGTGAAGAGCTGGGGCGCCACAGTAGAACAGCTCGCATCGTAGAAGATCTTGCCTGGGGCCCAGAGAAGACCCCATCCCTCTGTACTCTTTCTCCAGCTAGACTGGCCCAGGAGGAGGACCCTGGGGCCCGACCCCTGGCGGACACGCCCAGTGCAACGCAGAAACGGCGGCGCCCGGACCTCGCGGGCTGGGAGCCAGCCCTGGTGCGGCCTGACGGGCCTGGGGCTGCGCTCGACCGTGGTCGCTAGTGCTGCTCGGGCGGCGCCCAGCGGACGGCGGCGGCGGCCCGATCCTGGGCGGCGCCGTGGCCCGCCATCGCGCGCACGGGCCCTCTGTCGGCGCCCAGCCCCGCGGCGGCCGCCGGCCCCAGCGCGGCCGCGGGCGGCCCGCCGCTCCCCGGCACCGCCTGCTGCTGCGCCGGCGGCCTTTGCCCCTGCAGCTGCGCCGGCGGCCCCTGCTGGGCAGGCAGCTGCGGCGCCGCCCGCGGGCCTGCGGCGCCCTCGGGGCCGCCGGCGCCGGGCGCCGGGCGCCTCGGCAGCACGCCGGCCAGCGCGAGCTGGAGCCGCTCGGACACGTCCTGCGTGTCGGCGCCGCCGTCCTGCTCCGCGGCGAGGCTCGAGGCCCTCGTGAGCGTCGTTTGACGGATCCCTCCCCTCACTGGCCCAAGTTAAGCCATACGTGAGAGCGCATGGGCGAAAAGAGACGATGCCAGCCTTTGTTCTCCGCTTTGTGGGGGGCAGCGGCGCGCCAACCGATTCGTAAGTTACATCATGTGTGGCTGGACGAGACAGGGGGTGGGGCGGGGAGGAGCGGGCTGAGAGAGCAAGACGGCACCACAAGACATTTACCAGGATAGAAAGGTATACGTTGAGAGGGCACGGCGGCACCACATGATATAAAACACTGTAGAAACGTCTACTTACCCACTTGGGTGGGAATATATGATCCCAGGTCGAGGGTTCACAGTCCCTCCCCGGATGGGATGGGTCCCAGGGTTCCACAGCCTCCCCTCCTCCCGATGGGATACAAGGACGACGAGGACGAGGACGACGACGCCCACGGAAGACGACGACGTTGACATTTTGACGACGACGACGATGAACACACCACACCCACAGGGTGAGGGGGGGGCACCGGCACCCACCAATACGCCACGCCCACAAGGCCACGACCACAGGGGGGGGAACCCATCGCGCGGGGACGGGGGCCGAAAGCATCAACATTAGAGGGGGCCGGAACCCTGGATCACACATGATCCAATCTAGGGTTGCCCCCCCTCCGCCCCCCAATGCACATGGGCTCGAGCCCCCGCCAACGCAGGGTACTCCCATGAGCCTCGCGAAGGCCTCGAGAATGGGATCGCGCCCCCCCCCCCGTAGTCGTGGTCCTGTGGGCGTGGCGTGGTGGAGGGTGCCAGTGCACCCCATGATTCTGACACCCTCCTCCGTGTACCTATTTTGGCTCAAGATGAAAAGAGATCTTGTTGCTAATCAACACATTATCTCATCATGGTAGCGTGAGCTGGCCACTCACTGCTGCGACCCACCAGGGCCTCGCGGCGCGCGCGAAGCGCCACGGCGAGCTGGCAGGGCGCGTGGCCCGAGGCAAGAGGCTGGAAGAGAGCGGCATCCGCCGCACCAAGCACAGCGGAGGCCGGACCACCGGCAGAGGCGGAGAGGAGACCACCGAAGAGCGGCCGCAGGCGCGGCAAGAGGAGTGACGCAGCTGTCGAGAATCGAAGACGACAGTTGGAGTTCAAACACGGCCTGAAGGACACGGGCAACAAGTTGCACGACCTCGCGTACATCGAGGACCATCCCTCGGAGAACTCGTCAGGAGCAATCGAGGAGGCGAAGAAGGAGGTCTTAGATCAGATCATAGACCTCGAGCGTACGAGACAGGAGATCTCAGAGCGCAAGGAGGAGCTCGCCAGGAAGCACGCCATTAAACATGGACGAGCAAGTTCGGCAGCAGTTCGACTTACTGAGGCAGGAGTTCGCAGCCCGCATGAGTCAGACCGTCGACGAGATGAGGAGGCTCGAGAACGAGAATCAGAGGCTTCAGCAACAAGTAGCCGGAGGCCTCGCGGCGATCCCGCAGGCGATCGAGCGCATGGGCGAACAGATCCGAGGAGCTACGCACGCGGGAGGAGCCGCACCAGGTCTCGTCGACACGAAGGGCATCGGCAAGCCCACGACGCTAGGCGACGATCAGGAGAAGTTCGGAGCCTGGAACCGCAAGATGGAGAACTACGTGATAGGCGTATACGGAGAGAGCTTCCGTCCTGTTCTCCGGTGGGCGGCAGAAGCCGAACGCCCCGTGACGATCGACGGGGCACAGGAGGCGCACGGAGGAGTACCAGAGCTGGTGACCAAGATCAACCAGCTGTACGCGGCGCTGATCAGCACGACGGCGGACGGCAGCGAGAGCAACGACCTCGTGACGGGCGCACCAGACGGGAACGGTCTCGAGGCCTGGCGGAAACTTCACCGCAGGTGGGACCCGACGACAGGTCCGAGGAAGAGGCTGATCCTGAGGTCGATCATCTCGCCTCCGAAGTGCAACGCGGAAGAGCTGGGGTCCGCCTTAGAGAAATGGATCCAGCAGATAGGCAAGTACGAACGCCGCCAAGGAGAGGACGGGCTGGCCGAGTTGCCGGAGGATATCAAGATGGCGGCCCTCGAGATGCTCGTGCCTCAGGACATCGAGAACCACCTCGTACTCAACAAGCATCGGCTCGTAACGTTCCAGGACAGTCTGAACGAGGTGATGACGATCGTGGAGGCTCGGACAGGCGTGAAGATCAAGGAGCCATCGATCCGCGCACGGGCGCACCATCCGGACGACATGGACGTCGGATCGTTCGGAGCCCCGAAAGGAAAAGGCAAAGGCAAGGGCAAGGACGGCAAGAGCAAAGGGAAAGGCAAGGCCCAGGAGACGAAGGGGAAGAGCAAATCGACGAGCGGATCATACTCAGGCTCCCGCACATCCCCGACGGGTTCGGGCCGTGGTTCCGGGCACACGGCACCCCGAAGCACCGGCGTGCGCTTCGACGGCTACTGTCGGAACTGCGAGAGATGGGGCCACAAGGCATCCGAATGCTGGAGGAAAGAGCAGGGATCGAGTACGAGGGCTGGAACTGGATCCGCAACGGGGGCAAGCGCTGGTGGTAAAGGTGGTGGCCGCGGCGGCAAGGCCGGCGGCAAGGCTGCAGGCAGCCTGGAGGAGGAGCCTGAAGCGGAGGTCGCCGCCCTGGATATGGGCAGCTTGGATTGCCTGGAGCTCGCCAGCGGCAGCGGCCGCGGCGTAGCAGCGGTCGACCTCTCTCCCTTCGCGCAGGACGACTGGATGAAGTTCAACTGGGACAGCGGTGCAGCGGTCTCAGCATTCCCTCGGAGCTTCGCGCCGCCGACGGGATTGAAGGGCAACGGCAACACGTATCGTACGGCCAGTGGCGAGCTTGTCCCGGACGAGGGCAGCTTGCAGCTCAAGGCGGAGGATGAGTACGGAGTGCTACGAGCACTCAAGGGACGCGTGACGAACGTGCACAAGCCGTTGATCTCGGTGGGGCAAGCAGCAGGAGCTGGACAGTGTTCATTCCTAGGCCGCAATGGCGGCTGGATATTCCACGAGAAGAGCCCAATCGGCAAGCGTGTGGTAGGCATGCTGGAGAAGGAGGCGAAGACGGCGAAGCACCAGATGCTGCCGGTCTATCGTGAGCAGGGCGTTTACAACTTCTACCTCAAGAAGGGCCAACATGGCTCGGTTGCTCCTCTCGAGGAGGGATTTTCGGCGAAGTCGAAGTCCGAGCTGGTGGAGCTACTCAGCGGCAAGTCGAAGGAGGAGCTGCTGGAGATCCTCGAGAGGACAGTCCCCAGGAGGCAGCCCTCGGCGTAAGTCCACTGGAAGACTCAATACAGCAGTCCCCTGCGGCATCGGCTGCAGGGGCAGCAGCGGCGGGGTCGGGACCTTCCGACATGAGACCGCCGGGTTTTCAGCCAGCAGCAGCTGCGGCGGCTGACGTTTTGCCAGCTGCTCCTGATGGACAGCAGGCCGACGAGGGCGAGGAGGAGGCTCGCCCGAGGGTGCTGAAGGCACCTCATGAGCCCTCTCAGAGGGAGATCGCCGAGCACGAGGCGATGGGACACGCGACTTACCGCAGCTGGTGTCGCGTGTGCATTGCGGCAAAGGGCCAAGGCCAGCCGCATCTCCGCGCACCGGAGGACGACGAGACGGCGGTGCCGGTGGTCTCGTCCGACTACGCCTTCATGGGCCAGGACGACGCGGACACCATGCCGATGCTGGTCCTTCGGGATCGACGTTCGAAAATGATGGCAGCGACATTCGTGGAGAAGAAGGGCGACGACGCCTACGCCATCAAGTTCTTCGCACGCTTCTTACGGATCCTGGGCTACAGGAAGATCGTCAACAAGTCCGATGGCGAGCCAGCGATCCTGCTGGTCAAGAGGCGTGCGGTGGAGGAGGTTCCTGGCCTCGAGGCCATTCCCCAGGAGTCGGCACCGGCCGACCATCAGGCCAATGGGGAGATCGAGGTCACGGTGCGCGAGATCAAGAAGCAGGTGCGAGCGCTCAAGATGGACCTGGAGTCCAAGCTGGGCGTCAAGGTGGAGGACAAGCACCCAGTGCTAGCGCACCTGCCGGAGCACGCCGCTTCGGTGATCAACCGATACAGGCGCGGCCAGGACGGCAAGACCGCTCTTCAGCGGCTCACGGGACGGCAGTGGAGGAAGCCGGTCCCGCTCTTCGGCGAGCGCCTGATGGTGCGGTTCGCCGGGGAGCGCACGAGGAAGAACGCGCTGGAGGAGCAGATGGTGGAGGCCCGCTACATCGGCCACCACCCGCGCGACGGCTCGATGATGGTCATCACGAGCGACGGTGTGAAGAAGGCGGTCGGCTTTCGCAGCCTGCCGCAGAGCGAGAAGTGGATCACGGCGGGCTGGGACAGCCTGAAGGGCCTGCCGTGGGACGTGGCTCCGCGTGCGGCCAGTGCGCCGCGAGCCATCGTCGGACCGGGAGAGGCCGGTCCGCCACCGATTGTGGTGGTGCCGCCGCAGCCGCAGGCGCCGAGGAGGATGTACGTTCTCAAGGCGGACGTCGAGCGGCTGGGCGCAACGCCGGGATGCCCAGGGTGCGTCTCGATCGCCAAGCACGGCAAGGTGCTGGCGGGCCATGCGCACAACGCGGTGTGCAGCAAGAGAATCTTCGAAGCGCTGGACGCTGAGGAGGCAGGCCGGGAGAGGACCGGCCAGTATCGAGAGCGGAGGCAGGGCCAGGAGGCCAGAGTCCGCCCAGCGGCAGAGGCCGCGGCAGGGACCCCTCCGCCGAAGACGGCTCGGAGGATCACCGAGCCAGTGGCAGCGGCGGCATCGGCGCCGGCCGCGAGCCGATCGGCAGCAGCGCCAGCAGCAGCGGCGCGCATGCGAGAGAGCCAGCCGGGAGCAGCAGGCTCCGGCGTGGCGGCTCCTTCAGGAGGAGCGAGCTCCAGTTCGGGAGCAGTGAGAGCGGCAGAGGCCGCCGAGGATGTCGACATGACCGCGACCAGGTCGCGGCTGAAGCGCTTGGCGGAGGTGGCCCCGGATGACGTGCCGGAGGCCCTCGAGCGCGGTGATCCACAGCCGGCAGACGTGCCGGTACCGGTGGACATGGAGGACCTCGCGGCGCAGCCGGCGCCAGCGGAAGGACCTCAGCTGCCAGCTGGAGTGGCAGTCGTGTGGAACGCCAGCGAGGGGAGGCACATGCGGGTGCTCGCTCTCGACGTGGCGTCGATCGAGCTGGTCGAGCTCGGAGTGCTGACGAGGGCGAAGGCGGAGTTGCTTCCGCTCGTTCGCGAACAGGTCAGCGGCCATTGGGCCAGCGTCGGCGTAGACATTGCCGACGAGGAGGTGGACAGCATCGCCTTATCGGCGTTGCAGCTGGGCGCCGTGGACGTGGCAGAGGTGTACTCGCCGCATCGGTTCTCGGCTCGGGCGGCGGAGTTTCAGCTGCGTCCAGGCTTCGCGGCGGACCTGGAGGAACTCAAGGAGGACGGGACGCCGTGGGACTTGCGGCGACCCGAGGACATCAAGGAGCTCGAGGAGCTGCAGGAGCGGATGGATCCCATCCTGCTTACGGGGTCCCCTCCATGCGAGAAGTTCAGCTTGCTGAGGGGCCTGAGCGCCAAGTTCAGGACCGATGAGCAGGAGGCGGCTGAGATGGAGGAGGCCAGACACCACCTGAAGGTGGCAGTCGACGCCTACTGGCGTCAGCTCAGGAAGCCGGGCAGGTACTTCCTGCATGAGCATCCCTGGAGCGCGCGATCGTGGGATGAGGACATCATCAAGGAGCTGGTCGCGCATCCAGGAGTCTTCACGGTCAAAGGCCCCATGTGTCGGTGGGGCATGAAGCTCACGAACCCACGCAGTGGCCAGGAGGAGTTCGTGCGCAAGGAGACCGGGTGGGTCACCAACCACCCAGGCTTGGCTCGGAGGCTGCAGGGCACTTGCAGCAATGTGGACGGCCGCGCGGAGTGGCATCGCCACATCACGCTCGTGGGCGGCATCGCGCGGTTCGCGAAGGTCTATCCACCGAAGTTGGTGGAGGCGGTGCTGGAGGAGCTCAAGGACACGCTGAACGACGTGGGGGAGCTCAGCACCGCCCAGGTGCAGCAGTCGGGCCCAGTCCCGGTGGACGCGGCGGTGCCGCCCGGGGACTGGACGAGCTACTGGGACGACGTCAACGGCGGCTACCTGGAGGCAGGCCTTGTGGCCCAGGCTCGCGCGGTCGAGCGCGAGTGGGTCAAGAAGCAGGAGCTGATCGAGATCGTCCCGAGGTCTCAGGCTTTCGCTGAGACTGGGCGTCCGCCCATCCCACTCAAGTGGGTCGACACGAACAAGGGCGACGCGGAGAGGCCCAACTACAGGAGCAGGCTCGTCGTGAAGGAGATCAAGGCAAAGAAGCGTCCGGACGAGCAGCTGGAGGCGTCCGAGGTCTTCTCGGCAATGCCTCCTCTGGAGGCCATGCGGTCACTGGTCTCGCTGATGGTCACGTGGACGCGGGAAGCACCGCTCCACATTCAGGAGTCGCTTCGCAAGAAGGGCAGGAAGCCGGGCAACTTCAAGATCGGCTTCTTCGACATCAGCAGGGCGCACTTCTACGGGAAGGCGCAGCGAAGGATCTTCGTGGAGCTGGAGGAGGAGAGTCGCAAGGAGTACGGCGAGGACAAGTGTGGCTTACTCCTCAAGTCCTGGTACGGCACGCAGGACGCCAGCAAGATCTGGCAGGGCGACTACACGGAGCTGTTGGAGGAACACGGCTACAAGGCGGGCATGTCATGCCCAGCGGTCTTCTACAAGGAGGAGGACGAGACGAGGCTGCTGGGGCACGGCGACGATTTCGCGGTGCTGGCTCAGCAGCAGGACATCGACAGCTTCGAAGCCACGTTGGGCAAGAAGTACGAGTTCAAGAAGACTGCGAACCTCGGCTTCGACGAGGGCGACGACAAGCAGGCGGTCTTCCTGAATCGGGTCATCGAAGTCAGTGCGGGATTTCCGCCTGGCGGTGGCCGGCCCTGCCGGCATGCGATGATTGAGCCGGACAAGCGGCACGCAGAGATCGTGATCGACGAGCTGGGTCTCAGCAAGGCCAACGGCGTGGACACGCCGATGGAGAAGCGCAGCGCTGACAAGCAGATGATGGACGCGAAGTCAGCGGCGCTGGGAGCGGCGGAAGCTTCGCGCTTCCGATCCCTCACCATGAGGGTAGCCTACCTGTCGCAGGACAGGCTGGACTTGGCGGAAGCATCGAAGACGCTCGCCAGGTCTATGCAGACGCCGACGGAGGCGAGTTGGCTCATGCTCAAGAGGGTTGGCCGCTACCTCAAGCGGCATCCCAGCACGGTGACGGTCTTCACGGAGCAGAAGATGTTCGACAAGATCCGGGTGTACGTGGACTCCGATCATGCGGGTTGTGCAGTCACTCGGAAAAGTACGGGAGGCTTCGTGGCGATGCTGGGGCATCACGTCATCAAGCACGGCAGCAATCTGCAGTCGACGGTCTCTCTGAGCAGTGGGGAGAGCGAGTACTACGCCCTGGTCAAGGGCGGGAGCGTGGGCCTGGGTCTACACAGCCTCTTCGCAGACTGGGGGCTGGACCTGAAGGTGGAGCTCGCCTCAGACTCATCGGCGGCCCGGGGCCACGTCCAACGGCGAGGTCTCGGGAAGATGCGACATGTTCAGTCACGATACCTGTGGATCCAGGAGCGTGTAGGCAAGGGCGACCTTTCGATCGCCGCAGTTCCTGGTAAGAACAACGTCGCGGACGTGCTGACTAAGAGCGTGGGCGGATCTCTCTTGAGGAGACACATGGCGACGCTCAACATCTGGGATCGGGCACCGAGTTCGACCCAGAAGGACATCAAGTGAAGGAGTGGATCGAATCCATGCTCCGCTACCTGTGGGGCTGGATGAGTTTCCGCCGGTGGCGGTAGGATCGCACCGGACGGGTGAAGTGAGGGGCTTGCGGCATGGCCGCAGCCCGGCTGACGAAATGGGCGCGTCGGCTTGGACGCGCCCGCGTGTGACGAGATGGGCGCGTCGGCTGGGACGCGCCCGCGTGTGACGTGGAGAAGGGCGTGTCGGCTTGGACGCGCCCGCGTACGACGCATGTCGTGCCTGGCCGGGTTGGCGGCCAGGCCCGAGGAGGAGTGATTCTGACACCCTCCTCCGTGTACCTATTTTGGCTCAAGATGAAAAGAGATCTTGTTGCTAATCAACACATTATCTCATCACCCCACGCCCCTTCCCCTGTGGGTGTGGGGTGGTTCGTCGTCGTCGTCGTCGTCGTCGTCGTCGTCGTCGTCGTCGTCGTCGTCGTCGTCGTCGTCGTCGTCGTCCGTCGGCGGCGTTGCCGTTGGCGTCGGCGTCGGTGTCGACGTCGTCCCCCCCATCCCATCTGGGGGTGGGTGGGTGGGCCTGTTGAGCCCTGGGACCCATCCCATCTGGGGGGTGGGGGCTGCCTGTGAAGCCTCGACCTGGGATCACATATGCCTGTTCCTTCGGGTTTCGCCGGGCCTCTCCCAACCTAGGAGGGTGGGCTGGTGGAGCCAAGGTGCCATGGCCCAACGGGGATGGGGATAGGTTAGGCGATGCTGACCTCACGCGCCAGCGCGACGGCCTCGCGAACGACCAGGTGTGTGAGGCGTGGTCGTAGTAGTACGGCCTGCCGTCCGGTGCAACGAGCTCCTGTCGGCTGCGCGCAAGGTGTGTGACCCTAGGCAGGAGCGGCCTTTGATACGCGGCTTTGCGGGGGGCCGTGGAGGGGGTGCAAATCCAGGCGTCCAGTGCTGGGGGGCCCATGGGCCCGCACCATGGGCCACTCTGGCGAACTGTCACTCTTACCCAGATGCTCGACGATGACTTTTCAGTGCGCGGCCCCACGGACTCCCACCGATTCCCCGGGGTTTTCGTCCTGGATCAACGTTTGATGTTCCTGGGGCCCGGCAGCTGCCCCAGAAACCGAACTCGAGGAACGGCGCCCGCATTCACAAAGTCAGATCGTCGGGGGGCGGGTACGCGCAGCCGATCCTGCCAGAAGGAGAGCCACTCCTTGCAGGCGCGCTGGTACTCGGCGTCCCGGAGCTGGTGCCACTCCAGCGGGACGCCCGCACCGCCCCGCCCCGTCAGCTCGCACGCGGTGATGCCGAAGGGCGCCTCGTTGGGGTCGAGGGCGCCCCCTGGGAGCAACAGGCCGTCCTCGGCGACGAACTGCGGGGGCCACTGCACCCTGTTCGGGTGGTGCCAAGCCCAGGCCTCCAAGCGTCGTGAACACATGTTTGCGTCGGCGGCTGGGCAGAGTAACTGCGCTGGCGGAAGAGCTAATTATATAAACGAGGACACCGTTTAGCGAATCGTGCCACGATGCAGGAACAGGGGAGAAGACAGGGAGGGCGGCCGCAGGAGGGGGGAAGGGCGAGGGCCGCTCAAGCGTCGTGAACACATCAAACAAAACCATTTTGGCAATCTTCGGCCTCTGGCCCTCGCGGGGCCCCCCAAGACCGTCGAGAAAACACGACTCGGGAGGAAAGGCTGGCCCCAGGGGAGGAAGGAGGAGTCGGAGGAGGAGTCGGAGGAGGAGGAGGAGGAGGAGGAGGAGGAGGAGGAGGAGGAGGAGGAGGAGTAGGAGTCAAGCTAGCCAGCTCGAGCGAGTCAAGCATGGCATGCCCAGTCCCACCCGCCCTCCCACAACATAAGAAGCAAAGCTGGCACAACTGGGGGCCGAAGTCACACCGGCCAGCCGGTTTGGTACAGCTGATGCGGCCGCGATGGCGGTTGCCGACGGGAACTGGCGAGCGCGTGTTGAATGCCGAAAAACAGAAACTGTGTATTGTCTTTTGCAGATTAGAATGGGACGGATTGGATGGGCGGGCGCGGGGTGTGCGCCGCGTCCCATTCCTGCCATGCATTTTGCGACGTGGACGACAGGACGTCCATGCGACGGTGCCAATGACGGCGACGACTCTAGAAGGATTTGAGCATGCGCTCGCGGCGACGCGCGCGCATGTCGCCCGCGTGGTGTTTTTTGCACAGGATTCGCGGCCTGGGTGCATGACAGAGCATCGCGAGTGCACCGCGCGATGACGTGAAATCGCTGGATTTGACCGAATTCTTAAGATTCCTATGGTTTTCCTATGATTTCAGCAAGAGAGCCCGGGCAGGAAATTTGTAGTTTTTTTGTGAATTACTCCGACGGAAGAACCCCACATAAGAATCCTCTGGGCGAATCTGGAAAAAGCCATCACCGTCGTCCTCGTGGTTGGTGAGGCGTCCTGGCTGTCTCTTCTGCGTATATTTCCTCTCGCCTTGGCGCGGGCCCCCCTTCCACTCCTTACGTTGTCCCCATCCTCGCCCCCCTGTTTGTTCCGCGCCCCGCCACCTCCTCCCCTTCCTGTTGCATGAGCGCGCATGTCGATGTTCCTCGGCGCCGTCGCCGCCACGGCCAGCACAGGCGCGTTCTCTACAGGTCACGTCGCGCAGCCGTTGGGACAACCCCGCGGGCCAGGCTGTCGGGGCAACCCCGCGAGCCGTTGGCGCGCAAGACCAAGCCGTTGGGACAACCCCGCGGGCTTCGAGCGAGGCGCAGCCGCGCTCAGGCGGAAGGCAGCACGAAGCCCAGCTCTGCCGCGAGCTGCTTCGCCTCCGCCCTGGACAAAACCGCTCTCTTGTCGAACTCCAGGAGCGCCTTCCGCAGGGGCGCCGGCGGCCCGCACTCCAGGAACTCTCGCGGCGGCGGCCGCAGGATCAGCATGTTCCGCATGCACGTGGCGCGGGAGAACATGACGTAGAGGTGCAGCCACCACTGCTCGTCCGACATGCCCGTGCGGCCAGCGTCCTCGTCTCTCGCGCAGTCGATGGTGACGCCCTTGCGCAGCGTCTGGCCCTGCGACAGCGTGGAGGTCAGGTAGGACGCGTGCGTCAGGGTGAACCCCGAGCGGCGCACGCTGTGCGCCCCCGAGCTCTGCCATGTGAACTCCCTTTCGCTGGGCCTGAACATCAGCAAGCTCCGCGCCCGCGCCTCGGCCTGGCCGTCGTCGTCGGCGCCTTCGGCGCCCTGTCGCAGCACCTCGGCGACCTGAGGAGCCCAAAAACTTCCTTGTTGCATCCAAAGTGTGGCCTGGGAACTGCGTTCTGGCAGCGCGAGAACCCAACATTGACGACAGTTACAGGTTTTGGATGACCTGCTCGGATTACCAACATGATCTGCGGGCCCCATAGGGAGGGGGCTCCCGCCTGAGACTTCCTCGCAGTTCACTCACAGACGAGGCTCCCGCCTGAGACTTCCTCCATATTCAGGCTTGAGGAGCCCAAAAGTGACGACAGTTACAGGGTTCCGATGACCCGCTCGGATTACCAACATGATCTGCGGGCCCCATAGGGAGGGGGCTCCCGCCTGAGACTTCTTCACAATTCACTCAAAGACGAGGCTCCCGCCAGAGACTTCCTCCAAATTCAGGCTTGACGAGCCCAAAAGTGACGACAGTTACAGGGTTCCGATGACCCGCTCGGATTACCAACATGATCTGCGGGCCCCATAGGGAGGGGGCTCCCGCCTGAGACTTCCTCGCAGTTCACTCACAGACGAGGCTCCCGCCTGAGACTTCCTCCATATTCAGGCTTGAGGAGCCCAAAAGTGACGACAGTTACAGGGTTCCGATGACCCGCTCGGATTACCAACATGATCTGCGGGCCCCATAGGGAGGGGGCTCCCGCCTGAGACTTCTTCACAATTCACTCAAAGACGAGGCTCCCGCCAGAGACTTCCTCCAAATTCAGGCTTGACGAGCCCAAAAGTGACGACAGTTACAGGGTTCCGATGACCCGCTCGGATTACCAACATGATCTGCGGGCCCCATAGGGAGGGGGCTCCCGCTTGAGCCTTCCTCAGAATTCACTCACAGACGAGGCTCCCGCCTGAGACTTCCTCCATATTCAGGCTTGAGGAGCCCAAAAGTGACGACAGTTACAGGGTTCCGATGACCCGCTCGGATTACCAACATAATCTGCGGGCCCCATAGGGAGGGAGCTCCCGCCTGAGACTTCCTCCCAATTCACTCACAGACGAGGCTCCCGCCTGAGACTTCCTCCATTTTCAGGCCTGGGGAGCCCAAAAGTGACGACAGTTACAGGGTTCCGATGACCCGCTCGGATTACCAACATGATCTGCGGGCCCCATAGGGAGGGGGCTCCCGCCTGAGACTTCCTCACACTTTACTCAACGATGATGAGGATGAGGATGATGAGTGGTGGTGAAGATGAGTGGTGAAGAGGATGATGATTGATTGTGGGTGGTGGTGGCGATGATGATGTTTGAATGAGGATGATGCCGATACCGATGATGACGATGATGTTCGTCAGCGTGTGAGAGAGTGCTGGGGTGAGTGTTCCTGCGCGGGGTGTGCAGAGAAAACAAGAACCCCACTTTGGATGTGGGGAAAAAGCATTTGGTTTTTGATGTTTTTATGTTGAAATGCTTGCAATCACACGGTGTTCGGTAGGATTCTGACATGAACGCGCGCGTGTGCTCTTTGTGGTATTTTTTGCAATGGATTATCGCCGTGGACGACAGGACGTCCATGTCGAGAGGAAAAAATAAGAAAAATGTTGATTTTGTATTGTTTTTTACAGGTTAGGATGGGACCACCCGGATGGGGCCCCTATCTGCCGGCCTGAGGGGGGAGTAGGAGTATATTCTAATAAGGAATAAGGATAGGAGTAGGAGCAGTAGTAGTAGTAGTAGTAGTAGTAGTAGTAGTAGTAGTAGTAGTAGTAGTAGTAGTAGTAGTAGTAGTAGTAGTAGCAGTAGTAGTAGCAGTAGCAGTAGCAGTAGCAGTAGCAGTAGCCGTAGCAGTAGCAGTAGCAGTAGCAGTAGCAGTAGCAGTAGCAGTAGCAGTAGTACTCGTAGTAGTAGTAGTAGTAGTAGTAGTAGTAGTAAGTAGTAGTAGTAGTAGTAGTAGTAGTAGTAGTAGTAGTAGTAGTAAGTAGTAGTAGTAGTAGTAGTAGTAGTAGTAGTAGTAGTAGCAGTAGCAGTAGTAGTAGTAGTAGTAGTAGTAGTAGTAGTATAGTAGTAGTAAGTTAGTAGTAGTAGTAGTAGTAGTATAGTAGTAGTAGTAGTAGTAGTAGTAGTTAGTAGTAGTAGTAGTAGAGTAGTAGTAGTAGTAGTAGTAGTAGTAGTAGTAGTAGTAGTAGTAGTAGTAGTAGTAGTAGTAGCAGTAGTAGTAGTGGTAGAGGAGGAGGAGGAGAGAGGAGGAGGAGGAAGGAGGAGGAGGAGGAGGAGGAGGAGGAGGAGGAGGAGGAGGAGAAGGAGGAGGAGGAGGAGGAGCAGGAGGGGGAGGACCCGCACGACCCTCGATCAGTGGCCCTGCCCAGGGTGAGGGTCCTACTCATCTGCATACTTGCCACACCTCGTGGCTCAAGATTCCTGTTCGAGCTCTCTCATGGCTTGGGGAGAGAATGCAGCAGGTGGACACCAGAAGAGTGTGTCTTGGGCCGACGAGCGTGGCAGCAACAAGCGAGGAGGCTCGAAGGGGCCCCATCGGAAGTGGCAGTGTCAGCTCTGTGGTTGTAAGAAAAACGGCTGGAGATCCTGGTACTGTGTCCACTGCCACGTCGCCTGGAACGAGCCCGTCGCCGAGGAGGAGGGCACGCTCGCGGCGGACGGCGCGCCCCGCTCGGTCGGCTTGCAGCTCCCGCCTGGCCTGGGCAACGGTGACGCGCAGCTCTCGGTGGCCGAGACCCAGCAGCTCATCAGCCTTGGCACTAAGACGGGCGACCACGTGCTGGTCACCAAGTACCAGAGGTTATTGGAGTTCAAGCAGAAGGAGGCGGTCCAGCCGAAGGAGCCGCCGCTGCAGGTACGTGCGCACCGAGCGCATGCGCAGGTCGTGCACCTTGAGAAGGTGCTGGAGGCAGCGATCGACAAGTTGGGTCGGCTACGCCAAGCGGTCGCAGACCAGGAGACGGAGGTCCAGCTGCTGCAGACGAAGCTCGGCGACGCGGACGACGAGTACAAGGGCTTGCTCAGAGCCATGTACAGCCAGGCCCACAGTGACCAGCCCGCGGCACCGAATATCAAGTTGGAGCAGTTGCTTGCAGGCGACACGTCGTGCATCGACCTGGACGGCTGCGACGACTTCTTCGGTCTCGCCGACATCTATGAGTTCACCGACACGGATAAGAAGGAGGCAGCTGCCAGGAAGGAGCAGCTGCGAAAAGGAGTGCAGGACATGG